TATACCAACATTCTTTTTATTAAAGACCTGATTGCAACTATTTGGTCATTCATTTTCATGTTCTAACATTAATAGTATTGGGGAGTTGGGATGATATAGGGTCGATCCCATTCTTCCTTGCGAGAGATAACCCTTGCTCTAGAAGCTTTTGGGCTATCACCTTAGTTGGGTGGCCATTCTTATCAGCTCCTGAACATTGAAAAATCCTAACATTGGGGTCGTAGAAGTTGGCTTATGCGATGTTAGTTGTAAGGAGGAATGACCGTGATTCAGCCTCTACCATCTCCCAGAACCCATGTCTTGTTTCTCCTTCTTTATGGTATATAACCACTTGTTGGTGTAAGGTAGATGGCATAAAGAGACTCTGATGAATCCAATCTCTTCCCAATAAAGCCCCATAAAAAAGGCCAACATGATTTGTTTCGAACCTAAATCAACCTCTAATAACAGTATCTCATGTGTCCTGGTGATAGCTCCCGAGAAACTAGAAACTGTAAGATCTGTGGGGATAAGATCCTTCTCACTTCTGCACATTCTCCTCATCTACTTATGGTGGCTCATTGACTGTTGCCCCTTCATCAATCAAGACATTCTTGAAAGGTACTCCCTCCAGGTGAGCAGTTAAATATATGGGTTTGAGATAGTTGGCCAGGGCCAAACTTGGGTGAACGAAGACCATTTTGTCCGAGTATATTCTCTCAGGCTTCTTTCTTGATTACTCTGGCAAGCCTGTCTAGTTGGGTTCTCTTTGTCCCATTTATTAAACACTAACATGCACCATCATAGGTTATGTTGCCAAGTAATCATCTTCCATCGTGGGAGGCTGATTATGCTTGGCATAAAACATGGCTGATAAAACATATGTAATGTTTATGTGGAAGTTACTGGGTCCAGGTAAATCTTTCCCATTGCCCCCAATGTGGTTCATAAACTCATCCAACCAAGCATGTGCTTTTTTGGGCAACATTAACTTAGGCAACCTTTCTTCCTGGGTTATGACAAAGTTTGGCATCTGTTATGGAACCTTGCAGATGGTATCTACCAACAATGATGCGGGCAACCCTCTCTCGGGTGAGATAGTTCCAAAGCAGATTGGTCATGGGCTCCATCTTGGGGTAGGTATCATCACCATATCTTCTTGAGCTCTCCTCAAAATTTCTGTATTTCCCAGGATAGGGGCTCGACGGCGCATAGTCTCATTCCCCTTCGTTTTTGTTATTTGCCTTCTTCACCTCCTTCTTACTCCTCCAATGAGGTTGATTTTTCCCCCATGAGGTACATTTTCGAACTTTACATTCTCCGAAGTTTTTGAAGTCATGAGAACTTTCAACAAGTTCATATGGGCCTTATGCTGCCTTTAGACCCTCCTGATCATTAAGGCTCCTATCTCTTTAACAGGTCTCTCATCCTTCCCAATTATATACCATTTCCGCCTAAGTCGGGCAAGATTCTTCTTTATGACCGGATTTACTGTCCTTCCTTTCATTCTAACATCTCCTCTGGCATAACCTAACTGGGATGGGCTTACATCCACCCACTTTGGTATCTTGGCCTCCTTGTCTTCCACTTTTTCTAAAGCTTCATAGTTTCTAAATACTTCTAACAAGTTTTTAGGCTGAGAGTCTCTTCCCAACCTTTGAAAGACGTTCCTAGAAGTTTCCTCTCGGCTACCCGCATGATGCTCATGCGATTTTCATGTTCTTCCTCCTTCTTTCTTTTGATCAATTCTTGATCAATGACGGCTCCAACTGCTGGAACCTCCAATTCGCATTCACACTGACACCTACTGCAGAGCACTACTCCTTTGATTATGGGGGCCTTAGGCTTCTCGAGCAGCTTGATAACTCCCTCAGTCGGTCTATCGATTGGCCTCATTTCTGCCTTTACCTCCCACATGGCCTTTCCTTTTCCTTGCTCTACCCATGTTAGGTTGATCGTGTTTACTGAGGCTTGTAGAAAAGGATTAATATCAATCATTGTATTAGCTTGTGGTTTTTTTAGTGACTGCTTTATTTCTAACTCGCACTGCCCTCGGCCATCTAATAAAAATAACAAGGGGTCGAGCAATTCTAGTTCCCTTATTTTCTTCAACACTGGTTAATCAACTCTAGATTCTTCCTTGTTTTTTCCTTTATTCCTTTTTTCCCCAAGCAAAAGAAACAAAGGAATAACTGGCTCCTCCACAAGGCTGGCCTCTTTCATCATTTCTCTAATACGGTCATTTTCAAAGGTAAAATATTCGAGATCTAGCCTTCTTTGCAGATTTCCTGTTAAGGAACAGAGTCTGCTTATTTCCTCTTTCGTTTCTAGAGATTTTTTCTCCGTACTTTTCAAGACAGCTATCATGGTAGTATGCAGATCTTCATTTGTGACCTTCCCTCTTGATTTCTCAGAATGAGTTGGGTTTTCCGTCAAGACAGGCCCTTGCAAGTCTTCGGGGAGATTTGCCATGCTAGATCTTGGTGTGTACTGGGGTGGTTTCTGCTATGTTTTCCTCTTGAAGGTTTGTTCTTTCCTTCGTCTTCTTGACATACAAGACTCGTGATCCTACCAGGTATGCCAAAACTATGTTCGGGTAGGAAATCTCACTGGGAGGGGTCCCTGGCTCGAGCACACAGCTCCTTAAAGAGTTGGCATTTTGGTTGGTTGTCGGGCTCCCGCTTTGTTGAAATACTGCAAAAGGAGGACAAAGTTAGTTTTGAAAGGTGCCTTTATGGGGCCTTAGGTGTAGGCCTTGAGGCTCACAATCAAAACTAACTAAGTGCTTAGGCGTGCTACTGCCATCTCAGTATGGTGTAAGTTGATACTTACACCTCAAGTTATTCTGACTTCTTGTTATTAAAGGATTGTCGTAGATGGGTTAAGTCTACATTAAGTTCTTCTCTTTGCCTTGAGATCAAGAACTTTTAGTTGGTTATCTTGTATTCTTAAAGGGTGGAGGTCTATACCTAATCAAGTCATCAGTTTAATTCACATTTAGTCTTCTTATGACAGTAAAACTGCTAAGTGAACCAGATCAGAGAACTAATGGAACTTTGGTTCATCAAAAAACTGGAAATGACTTGAATATATACTGGGGAATACATCATAACACCAGATCTATTAACTTAAAGACAAAACAAAGAAAGTTAAGCAAGATTTCACCTTGTCGGGCAAGGTTTAAATGTCTTACGGTCTCTTCTCTTTGTAGTTACAGGGGGTTGAGTACTAAAGCAGGATGAGTGGTGAACAAGTTTACACAAGAGAATCGATACTACAACATTTAGAAAAGGTAGCAGAGCTTTTACACTAGACAAAAGATGTCTTTTTAAGGGGAGTCTAAGGCTAAAAGAGTGCAGAATCTTGACAAAGCACAGCTTTCTGGGTATTTGCTTGATTGAGAGGTAAGTTGTATGTTTGTTTGTTTAACTTTGGGCCTTCTTCCTCCTTTTATAAGTGAATTAACCAGACTATACAGTTTCTGCTCTTGCCCGAAAGCAACTAAAGGGTAGTGAGTCATCAGCATTTTACATGCTCTGCCATTCAGAAAGTGCTTTTGGGCCGAGAGTAGGTGGATTTCCATCGGTTGTTACTTCTCTTGTAAGCATCTAGCCTTTTCATTAATGAGGAGCTGCCATATTGTCTTGAGATGGATGGCTGGGCTTGGTGCTAGGCCACGAGCGGGTTCGTTCACTTTAGCTCTTTTAGGCTTCCATTTCTTCAAGTTCAAAGTTCAAATATTAACCCAAACACCCTCTTACATGCATTTGTAATGCTTAAGAAGGGCATTTCTATCTATCAAACTTCTTGTGAATCATTTTTTACTAACTTCGCTTTAATCTCTTGGAACTTGAAAATCCCTCACCTAAAGGTATCTGAAATGAGTTGAGATTGACCAAAGAAAAAGAAACAGAAATTGTCACAACTACACCTCTGCTCGTGACAGATTCTTAACTCTTCTGCAGAAAAAATGGCTGAAAATCTATTGCCTTCCAACCCTTCTCTTTAATTCTCTCTTCTTACAAAATTATGAAATCAATACAAAACTTCAATTGATCCACCTGCCACCTTAATTATATGTTCTCGGCATAGCAAACCATATTCTGATTGTAATTTATTTCCATTTATTCTAACCAATCAGATTTAAAAAGAAATGGAGAGAATGAATGCCGTTTCTCAAATTAGGAGAAAGGGAAAATTCACATGGTGTGTGTTGAGAAATTCTATCATGCCTTTCCCATGACCTCTTCAAATGCGATGTAAATAGAAAAAGAATAAAAATAGGATTGGACCAGCATCCCCCACACCTACCAAGCACTCAAGTTGCTTCACCAAAACTAACACCATCCTTTTTTATTCCCTTGCCATTCAAGACATGGAAAGAAATGAACAACTTACTTCTTCTTTTTAAATCGGAACTATCGTCCATGAGATTTGAACTCAGGACTTCCCGCAATAAGGAAGACTGGATGGTGCTCCACCAAATGGTCATGTGCGAAATTCACAACTTGCTTAAGAAGAAAATAGAATGACCAACATCATCACTACTCTTACTGCTTGATTAGTAATACTACGGATAATGCTAGGGAGACTAAGTTTTTAGACTAAATTCTGTAAATTAAATGGTGTGGTTGTTGACGATTGAATTATTACTTAAGTTTTGATTAATGTGCTTATTTCCTATTGGTGACACATCATGTTGTTTGCAAATCTAGTTTAAAAACTTAGTCTATTTAGCATTACCCGTAATACTACATACTACATACCTAAAATTGTTCCACAGGATCGGACGGTCATTATAAATCCATGACATAATCCAAGCGTCGAAAACTAAATTTAGATCAGTAAATGAGACCCAAATGATTAAAAAAAAAGAGAGTGCAAAAGTAAGTGATTCTAATTTTTTATCTGCAAGCACATGACTGAGGTGACTTTATCACCAGCCAACCAACAAATGCTGGTCACTTTAGATAAAGAACATAAGGTAAATAATCCTTGTTAAATACCAAAGGCTGAACACCAGATGTCCCGAAAGCAAAGCAATTTCCTCACCAGTACTGAATCCAAAACACCTCTCGTCATCCACAAGCCACCCCTTCAACTTCAACAGAACCGAACATGTATAAATCCGGCACTGTTGTCACCAGAGACACTGCAAAGATGGCGGCATATGCTCCTGTGGAAATAGGCACCAAGGGAACTGTTGGATCCCTCATAATGAGAGAAATTGAGCACTTCAGCCAGCTCGAACTAAGCAGCCGGTGTAGCTCGCGAAAGGCTCAGCCCCAACTCAAAGACATGGTTTCATCTACTAGTCATTTGAGACCGACTTTTGAATCAGTTATAAAAACACAAAAGAAGAAAAAGAGAGGCAGCAAGCTCCTACCAAGTGTATGTTCTATGGTGGAAGTCTCGGAGAACAATCGACCAACTAGTATTTCTACATACAGTTACAGGAATCTAAGATCTGAAGGGAAGAAATTGCCAGGTTAGACAATGCTTTCAGATAGCCTTGAGAAACCCAACTTCTTCAGTCGGTTTGTTATAGGGCCAGCCCATGCTCTATACGAGCTCCCACATTTTTATGTCCACAACTTCAACAATGTTAGTTCCTTTTTCACTAGTTTTCTGCCTATAAGAGTTTTATCCAGACCAGCATGATCAGAGCCCATTTGACTAGTATTTTTCAGTTTGAGTTTTTGTGTTATGGGAAACTTAGGGTTTCTCAGATTAATGCCATTGCTGCTTCCACTGCTGCTAGCTTCATCACATGATTCTCTTGGTTGTAGCTTTTTTGGAGTAGTAGCACCACAGGGAACAGAAAAAGAAGCAGTTTGATGTTTATTAATTTCTGGAAGATGCAGACGTCAGAGATACGACTTTGATGGACTCTAATTCTCTTGTCTTTAGGGAACTGACCGTCCCAGTGGTCCCGACTCTGATGGATCCTCCACCACCCTTTATTCCAGCGTCTGAACCATGTTTTTTCTCGTCTTAATCAAAGGTTTGAGCAGACACCTTTTGGCAGGGAATTTCTTAGTGAACAGAATCTTCTTGAGAGAGATGTTACAACCAACTCAGTTCAAGAGCCGTTCCTGCAACCGCATCAGCCAATGCGGTTCTGGATATGAATGGTGTATTTGAACAGTAGCTTTAAATCAGACTGTAAGTAGAGTTTGTCAACAAATTTATGGTCAATTTTTAGTAGTAGAAATCTTGAGATGTTTAAGAAACGAATTCAACTGCCAAATTTCGGTACATAAGCATGAGTGGACAAGGCAGAGTATTGAGTGGTATTAGTGAGATCACTGTCTTTGCATTTCCGATCGAGTAATTTCAACCCGAAAAGTAGTTAAAATCATAGTTAAAAAACGCGCAATATTGTAAAATATAGCGCTATATCGCACCATGGAAGAGATTTTGCGATATAATGCAAAAATATCACAATAATCTAAAAAAAGGTCGATTTTTTACATTGTATTGCACGATATTTACGTGATATTGCACAAATATGCCACACCAAATGCCTCGTGATCCTATTGCTCCTAGCGTTGGAGCAAGGTTCAACATTAACTGAAAACCTAATCACAGTACTAAAGAGACAGAGAGTCGAAGGGCATTACTTGAAGACATTGTCAATGGCACAAGAGATTCTTTTGCTCACTTTAGTTCTTTTTATTCTTATGGTGATAGAACCCTAGTCGTAGAACTGATACTTAGTGAGCTGGGAATCCTTTTATTTATAGATAACAATGGCAGCCAACTCCCATCTATCGTGGGTGAGTTGGTTATTGACCATTTGTATCATATCCAAGAAGAGATGGGGTAGTAGGAGCATTTTGTTCAAAGCACGTTGAATGTGTTTCCACGAATATAGGAAGCAAGTATTCCATGTATACAACTCTTAATGAATGTGCATTATCAACATATATCTTAACCTTTATCACAACTAGTTGAGCTCACATTGGATTCTTATATTCTTCCACATGGACACAAGAGAATGAAGTTGCAAAGAGAAAGAATAGAACAATAGTTGAAATGGAAAAGATAACAATGGAATGAAGTTTTATAAACACTGCAGTCTACTTGCTAAATAGATGCCCTACAAGAGCATTATATAGTTGTTAAGAGTTCAATGAAGGGGACCATTTTTTCATATGTTTGAATAAAAAAACAAATGATCTTTCTTATGTGGACTTATATAAGGGCATTATTGTTGGCCTTGCCCTGGTCCTAAAAAATCAATGGACTGACAACAGATACCACTTCATTAAGGAAGCATTGCAGAAGGGTGCAATTGACGTGGTATATTTTTTCTAATGAAGGAGCAGCTAGCAGATATCTTCACAAAAGCCTTAGCCAAAGACCAATTCTGCTATATGATGGAAATTCTTGGAGTGAATCAGTGCGCAATTTAAAGGAGAGGCTTGAAATGTAAATTTATACATTGATTCATACTACAAGTGTCAATTTGTTTTTAGGTAACAAGTTAGAATGGTTTATAAGCCTTGGATGTGCCATCTCTCTCTAGCTCATATGCTAAACGAATAAAAGGCTGAGATCATTTGAATTGTAACGGTTATTTCTTGTATAGGCATGAGCTCACAAGCTCACTGTGTTGAATGAATTTGCATTCTCAGAGTCACATTCTTTGAGCAATATTCTTCATCTTCTTCAACTCCCTCATCAATCCAAATTCTTTGTTTCCAGCTCATTTTTTTCTCCTTTGATTCACACAATATTATCATAATCAACATTGTGCCAACAACTGTAATTCATATGCTTCAACCTTAATTAACTGGTTTCCATTGACCAGTCTAGAAAGCACTTGTGTTTCTTAGTTCCCAAGTAAATTATTCTCTTTGAAGCAATCCTGAAGAAACATGATTATCTGCACTTTCACATATTTTATCTTCACGTGAATTGATAATGCAAATGTAAGCCATTGCATAGCATGGGTTTTTAAATCGGGTAATGTTAAGAAGGCTTAAATTTTTAAACTAAAATTTTGTAAACTGAATGATGTGGTTGTTGATGATTAAATTATTACGTACGTATCGATTAACGTGCTTATTTACTATTAGTGACTAATAATTTAGTTTAAAATTTTAGTCTCTTTAACATTATTATTTTAAATCATGCATGTTTGAATAGTTGACTTTTGACATAGCATAGTCGACTTTAAATAGCTGACTTTTGGGAGTAAGTTTATCTTGTTTCATAGTATATCTTATATATAGCGCCAATGGAAAAATGAATAGTGATTTTGGTGTCACCAAATTTCAACAAAAATGTCCTCAAGACAAAAAACTTCAAAGGCATCTCAAAATAATGCATCAAATAAGGCAGGGGCATTTTCGTTATTTTCATAGTGTATTTTTAATAATTAATTTTTTGGTACATTTTTTTTAATTAGTACCTCATAATAGGTTAGCAATAATGTGATTTAATTTCTCTATTTTTAAACACGTTCAAAACATCTTAAGATGTGTGTAATACTAGTTATAAAAAAGGTCTTTCGCACACAGATAATAATGTGATTAAATAAGTTGTCAAATGATTGTTTTTTTTTTAATAAACGATATTATCTACACTAAAGGGGGAGGGGGTGGGCTTAGCCTCATAATAGGCTAGCAATAATATGATTCAATCAGTTATTTATTAAATATTATTTTCTCTATTTTTAAATACGTTCAAAATATCTTAAAATGCGTGTATTGCCAGGTTATAAAAAAAAAGGTAGTTTCGCACGCGGATAATAATGTAATTAAATTAATTGTCAAATGATTGTTTTTTTTTATTTTAACCTTTCGTACGCGAATAATAATATGATTAAATAAGTTGTTAAATGATTGTATTTTTTTTAACAAACGATATTATCTACACTAGGGGAGCCTCACAATGGGCTAGCAATAATGTGATTCAATCAGTTGTTTATTAAATATTGTTTTCTCTATTTTTAAACACGTTCAAAACATCTTAAGAGATGTGTAGTGCCGGTTATAAAAAATGTTTTTCACACGCGGATGATAATGTGATTAAATTAATTATCAAATGATTTTTTTTTTTTAACAAACGATATTATCTACACTAAGGGGGAGGGGGTGGGCTTAGCCTCACAATGAGCTAGTAATAATGTAATTCAATCAATTGTTTATCAAATATTATTTTCTCTATTCTTAATGGAAATTCTATAGAAACCGATTTTATTATATAAATTCAGTTGCTTCAATTAGTTTATGAGAAGTTTCTTCTCACATGATCTAAAATTATTCATTTACTTCAAATATCTAACTTTTATTTTGTCAATTTACGCATATAAATACATTTAAAACGTGTAAGTCGTGCATAACATGCCGTAATTCAAAAACTATCTTCTGCACACGCGTGTATGAAAGCTAGTATCATATATGTGTACAAGTTTTCATAATTTTGATTTTAATATGGTATTAAAAATTTGATTACTCTAATAATATCCTAACTTTTAAGACCCAAGTGATCTAAAAACTCGGCTCCGAGACACGTCTAATAGTGGCAGCCAATCGTGAAAGCAGCCGCTGTTTCTATCACGCTTATACTGCACTGCATTATAAACAAAAATATGGAACTTGTATCATATATGCTATGAAACAAGATAAACTACTCCAAAGAGTCAACTATGCTATGTGAAATGTCAACTCTTCGAACATACATGATTTGAAAGAGTAATGTTAAGGAGGTTAAATTTTAAATTATATTTGTAAACTAAGTTATAAGTTACTAATGATAAATAAACACGTTAATCGATAATTAAATAATAATTCAATCATCAATAATCAAATTTTTTAAACCAAATGTTAGAGAGACCAAAATTTTTAAATCAAATGTGCAAACTAAATTTTGGTCTCCCTAGCAAATTTGCGAGAGATTTTTCAGTGTAACCATCACACGGGGTGGTTGTCACATCCCGGCCCGGGTGGGACGACTTCCCGGGCCCGCTCCACTATCGTAGCACGATATTGTCCGCTTTGGGCTTACCATTCCCTCACGGTTTTGTTTTTGGGAACTCACGAGCAACTTCCCAGTGGGTCACCCATCATGGGATTGCTTTAGCCCCCTTCTCGCTTAACTTCGGAGTTCCTACGGAACCCGAAGCCAGTGAGCTCCCAAAAGGCCTCGTGCTAGGTAGGGATGGGAATATACATTTAAGGATCACTCCCCTGGGCGATGTGGGATGTCACATCCCGGCCCGGGTGGGACGACTTCCCGGGCCCGCTCTACTACCGTAGCACGATATTGTCCGCTTTGGGCTTACCATTCCCTCACGGTTTTGTTTTTGGGAACTCACGAGCAACTTCCCAGTGGGTCACCCATCATGGGATTGCTCTAGCCCCCTTCTCGCTTAACTTCGGAGTTCCTACGGAAACCGAAGCCAGTGAGCTCCCAAAAGGCCTCGTGCTAGGTAGGGATGAGAATATACATTTAAGGATCACTTCCCTGGGCGATGTGGGATGTCACAGTGGTACACCATGTGTCGCTATATAAATGATGAGATATGTTTGTTAAAAAGTTAATAACTTAAAAAATAAAATTTTCCACCACTTACATACAAATACATGGTGTGTACCACCTATATTCCTATCACAATTAAAAATTTCTCCAAATTTACAAATTAAATGATCTATAACCAATAGGAAATGAACATGTTTGTCAATGCTTAAATAGTAATCCAATTATCAACTTCCATGTTATTTGATTTACAAAATTTTATCTACAAATTTAGTCTCCAATCCTATCATCACTTGTATCTCATATGTGACATCTCGTCCTAAAATTTATCGTATTTTATTCATAGTAGTAATGAAATTATCAAAATACTTCTAAGATGCCATGTAGGCCTTTCACGTGAACCCCAAATTTTCCTTTCACTTTTCCAGTCTTATTTTACTATTTTGAATAGTACTTATTTTTACGACACGTGGTGAAACTCAATTCGAAATTATAACAAATAAGTTACGTTCGAAACAGTATAAATTTACATAAGATAATTTCAAATTATAAAAAACGGACCTCGTGCAGTGTGCATCACTGCTTGCCCATGCAAACGGCTTTAAACAAATAATTATTTTAAAACCCACTCTTGTCAATAACATCCATCAAACATCATTCTTCTCTTTTTTTTTTTTTTTATAAATATTTCTCTCTATCTGTCTCTCTCACACACCTTCTTTTTCCATTTTACCCGGTTCACCTTTTCTCCCTCTCTCTCTCTCTCTCTCTCTCTCTCTTTTCCAGCTCTCCCCCATCACTCTCTCTTTAGAGCTCCCGGAGCTCTCCTTCTCCTTCC